ACACACACACACACACACACACACACACTACACACACACACACACACACACACACACACACACACACACACACACACACACACACACAACATCAGCTTCCAACCCACCCCGCCGCCACCACCACCACCGATTCTACCACCCAGAAATAAGCACCAGCCACAAATTGCATCGGCCCCGCACAACATAATGCCAATTCTTCCTGGAGCGTAACGAGGGAAATGCGCACTGATAACATCGCCAAACATCGCGCTGTCCCTTAGCACGAGAAAGCAACATAGATAGATGAGATATGATGAGACGCTGCTACCGGACTTACTGCCAATGATCGCCTATACGTGCATCCAATATAGAGATCGTATGCACATGCCGACATCTATCCATCCATCTGTCTTAGCTCAAACAGAGCAATGCGATATCACCTCTCCACATACCTACGGAACGTACCGCGCGCGTGTACGCGAAATGTTTCTTTTATGATAGCCTGCTCACGATTACAACAATCATGACGTACTTCCTAGTTAATTGCTGAGATCGAAAATGTCTACAAACATCCATGAAGCTATTGACCACAATGGCAAAGCATAGACGAAAAGGGGTAGGTGCATTATAATAGCATCTCTTAAAATGCCCCCGCGAGAGCAACGAGTTAAGATGCTACCGTAACTCCTCTATGGTGCGTGTCGCAGCTTGCAATTACTGTGGTGCCCTTGACCAAGGCCTTCCATCTCGATTCGCTCCGGCCCAACATGTTCTGTTTGCATCTATGACAAAAACAACATACGCATATACGTCCTCCTATGACACTATTTGTCATAGGAAAATTCTTCCTATGACAAATATTGGCGAGTCAACTTCGTTCCGCTTTGCAGCTGAAATTCACTGCTTGCGTTCATAATAGCGCTCCTAAACTCCTATGATGCGCACAACACATACAACAATATTTGTCATAGGAAGAATCTTCCTATGACAAATAGTGTCATAGGAGAGCGTATATGCGTATGTCGTATTTGTCATAGATGCTAGCAGAACAGGCTGTCCAGTCAGTTGAACCCCGACCTTCCACATACGAGGCGAGCACTCAACCATTGAGCCATCGCAGTGGTGACAAATAGTGTCATAGGAGAGCGTATATGCGTATGTCGTATTTGTCATAGATGCAAGTAGGACATTTGATATAAGCCGGGTATAGCTTTGCCAAACACGCGCGTGTAGCAGGCATCTAAGTTTCTCTCGTTCCAGGGGACGAATGTCATGGAGTCAGCTACAGCCGAGAAGGGCATACGACACACGAGTGAATGTTACCGCTGTGATAGAAGAACTTCTGACTGGCTACGATAACCGACTACGACCAAACTTCGGAGGTAAATATAAAGTCCTGTAACTGTCGTATAGGTTTTATGTACATATAATTATATGATATATTATATATATATATATATATATATATATATATATATGTGTGTGTGTACTTCAGCCGGGATACCGGCGTTGCCCGGGGAAAGTCAAGTGGCCGTTACTCAGTTGGTGACCGCTTGGTTTGAAAGGAAAATACCCAAACAATCTAACTATCTATCTATCCATGCATGCATCCATGATAGCATGCCATCCATCATATCATCCCCATCTATCCCATCGCCATCCCGTCCATCTTATCGCACGCGCATCCCGATCCAATCCGCATCCCATCCCATATCCCCATCTCAATATCCATCCCATCCCATGACATGCCATCCCATGCCATGCATCTCCATTCCATCCATCCCATCCCATCGCATCCCATGCCATCCCATGCCATCCATGCCATCCAAACAGTAAAAACAATAAGAAACACAAAAGATAAAGACATTAAATTAAAATTAAATTAAAACAGTAAGAAATTAGAAATAATACATTACTAAAGAGGTAGGTGAAGGGAATAAAATGAAAAAAGGGGAAAGATAAGTTCCCCAGCTTGAGACATCGAACCCGCAATCCCGGTGTAGGAGACGGATGTTCTAGCGATTAGGTCACTGCGCCGTTAAGGGCATACACCATGGATCGCCACGTACGTATGTGATTTTTAATCTGTACGCACGCGCCATCTATTGATGAATGATAATTTTATCAATTTTTTTAACTTTTTACTTTTTTACATTTTTGTTTCAAGCCGTAAGAGCCCCAGACTGCCTGATTCTGAAATATCTGTAGTGTTTTTTTCTAGGCTGGCGGAGTTCTCTAGTTTGCGAGTAACGGATTTAATTCGGCTGAACAACTTTATATATATAGATAGTATTTGTGGTTATTTGGTATAGGTATTTGTCCTGCACACACCTACCAATGGCATGTTTTTACTGGTGATGCGGTGCGTGCTGCAGACTTTGTGTGCCCTACCTTGTTGCAGTCTGGTTTATGATGCACCTACCACGTATTCAGTTGCATTTTGAATAGATCACATGCGTATTGGCAAGCTTTGGCTGTGATGCACTATGTGCAGCAATCGCTAATGATAAACACCATACGGCGTTTAGCGTTGATGCTCTGTAAGTTCCACAGATCGGTGCCGCTGAATTGATGCATGATTAATTCGGTACACTAAATTCATGTTCTTCCCTTTCTCCGGTATATATAGCACTCTAGATGAAATTTCAATTATGTCCATATAGTGACGTATCGAATTGCATTAGCATATGACATTTTACACACAGTTCAGACAAATGAGCAAGGCCTATTATATTGATATGAGCACCACACACACACACATCACCACCGCGCGCCGGCGCACGGGCACACGCACACGCAACACACGGGCACACGCAAGCGCGCGCACGGCCGCACAGCGCCGCGCGACGCCACCGCGACCACGCACACGCACACGCACACGCCACACGGTCACAATGCACGCGCACACACACACACACCACACAAACCGCAACATCCTTACATACGCACACACGACAATCACGCACGACACCAAACAACACACACGCAGCACGCACACCGAGTCCGACACACGCACACGCACAGCACACCACACGCACACGCACACGCGACACCACGACGGAGAGGAGAGCGGGGAGGGAGAGTAGACGGGAGGGAGAGAGGAGGAGGAAGGGAGAGAGATTATTTACCACTGTGAAAATCTAAAGAATATGCTGGTATAAATAGTAAACGAATAAACAACCTGTTATCTAGCATGTATTAAATTGTGTTTTCCAAGATTGTGTGGCAATAATGGGCTTACCATGGTGCTAACTATAGCATCACACACACACACACATTATATATATATATTCCGAGAGCATGAATTAACTGATTTTCAAGATTGCTGTAGTGATTGAACATTAAAATCAGTAGCGGGTGAGAAGTCTTTGAAATCGGTAGTCTACATGCGTGAATCGGGTAATGTTTTGGATGTTTCTCATTTTATAAATGGTCAAAGTGCACATACCCCCCTATATGATGGTCAAAGTTATATGTC